CATAAAGAATACTGATTGCTGAAAACATTTCAGCATTCACATCGCTCATGAATTTTATGGGATGTGGATCTTCATTAAACAATCAGCTGTGAGTGTGAAGTATTTCTCAAAATATACTACAAAATATGCTACAAAATATACATTTCTCAAAATATACTACTGCAACGATCATTTCCCTACACAGATAATCGAAAAGTAGAAAAAAATCTGGACGAAAACATCGGGAACGCTCAGATGAGAATACCTTGTCAGGCAGGAAAAAGACCGATATGAAACCCATAATGGCAATTGCGGAGCCAATTGCTTGCATTGACGACGGAGCTATATTGTGACGTTGATCAATTAAAAACGGTGATAGTATACCGGCAAGAACTACATCAAACTCGGTGTAGTCTGATAATATTCTTCGCCAGTGAAACAATTCAACCTTAAATTCAATCACATTCGTTCACGGTTACGATATTCAAACAGCGGTGACCACAAAACTACACAACAACTTTATAACACAATAGCAGTAACTAATCTAACGTTATGTTTTTGAGCAAAGATTACCCGCGCAGTAGGAATGTTGCAGTGACGTTGAATGTTTCGGCGTTATGCCATCTTCAGGAGCTTCTTTGTGAATTGTATTCCTTGAACGTCGGTGATTCAAAATAAATTCCTAGTGCGCGGGCAATCCTTCTTCAACAACATAACCTTAGCGTTTTCGCTCATCTATTGCCACTGTGTGCTTCATGAATGAGAAAAGCTTAGAGCAATTGTTGAATAACTAACCTCTCTTTTATTCCACGAGTCAAGACCGTAAAAACTCGTCTGGAAGCTAAATGCAGCAATGCAAGGTTCGCCATTAACAGAGTTTTCCTTTATCTTCACAAACTCTAAAATTTCATAATTGAGGTGATTGCTGAGTGATCATTTGTGCAATAGTGTCTAATGAAATGTTCATTTGAGTTGAAAATCGAATGTTAATTGAAGATAATCGAGTAGAGCAGTATTTGATGACAAGGTCACTAAGAGGAGTATAGTTCAATTAGAGGAAGAAGAGGAAAGCAAAACAATGATGAAAGATTCATTCAAAACGAAAACGATAACCTCGGTATTGTTTATAATCGAACTGCGCAAAAAAGTCTGATAGATGTTTCTGATCATAGAATTCAGTCTCATAATCAATGTCAGGGAAGTCATTCAAAAATCTCTGATATTCCCACAGCCAGAAACTAGTTGAGACACGACCAATGCTATATTTAGTGTGTTCGAGTCGATAGACCAACTCATTGAGGCGCGCTCGAGCACGCGCGTTCCTCAGATCCGGTGGCTTCATCACGTAAAATATTGGCATTACATTGTCAGCCCATATGTATTTATCTGAATTATTCGCACGTCAATACTTGTGAATCTTCGAAGGCATTAGAACTGATGAACAAAAATCGTTGAATCGAATGAGACCAACCAGCGAGATGGACGAATGTTTGAATTGGTGAATTATCTCTGACGTATTTTTTCGGACTGATATCCACGGCGATCGATGAACATCCATAAATCGCGAGTGTCGCATAGGCGAAGAACAACACCCATGAAACGACCATAACATCCTTCCGAAGGATGAACGGTGCATATTTAGTGCCAAATAATCGATGCATGAACGGCTCTAAACTTGTATTCCAACAACTAATCTCGATCACAATAACAGAATCAACTTTAAGCAAGAGTTCACAGGAAGGCCTTATTACAAAACCGCAAAATTACTTCAATTTCTTGATTTTACCAAAAGGAAATGTTTTCCCATTTCGCTGTTTGATTTCTTTCGCTCAACTATATTCATGTACATTCGACTTGACAAGTAGTTTGAGGTCTTCAAGAAGTAAATATACCCACTTTGAGCATAACTGAAACCGCTAAATGCTAAAACATGAATTCAGGAGAGCATTTTTTCAGTCAGTACAATCCAAAATCACTCGATGTATGAAGAAGTTGTGAGCCATGGGGAAAGATATGGAAGCATGCGACGAGAAGGAATGAAACGTGCGAATTGATATGTGGTGAATGTTAAGAATAACCTACGTTCTTCGCGTCTCATTTCGTCGGCTTTTCGCACG